GCATGCTGAGTTGAGGGGTAGTTTTTATAAAAGGCTTACAGTCATACCACTGCAAAACCATTATTGCTTACCTGACCCAAATGTCTGGGACCATAATTTAAAATAACCATTTCCTTGCTGGGGATATCAGCCTCTAGGTTCCTGTGCAGGAGGCAAAGGCCACTGGTACTTGCTCCCTATGTCGCCTCCTGCACTCTTGGTGCCACTGACCTGCACCCTGAGTTGCTTTCTGCTTCACTCCAGAGTTATCTTACCTGGACAACCTTCCTCCCTGCACGCAGCCTGGGTCTCTTTGGCAGCTCTCCCATAGCAAAGCAGACAAATCTTGCCCCAGGTGACACTGAGCTGTTGAGGGATGACTCTAGCAGTGCTGGTGGGATCTGGTGTTATGGAAATTACACAGCCAGCCACCATAACTGGTTTTGACTAGTTTTCCACTGAACCAATAAGCTGAGAGACTCCTCTATAAAAGTACATTTTATTAATAGTGCTACAGCTTGAGCTGGGCATCTCCCAAGAAGGTCCTTGAACAAAGAAATCCCTGGATGACCTGCTAAAGCAGTATATGGACAAACAGTATCTTTCAAACAATCTTCACGTGTCTTGCTTGGCAAGTGATGAATCAGTTATGTATTGTACAAGTCTAGAACCTCAGGTAGTATAATATCTTTCTAATTTTCTCTTTGTCACGCTGGCATGTGATCCTTAAAATAGTTTCAGTTGTCAGAGGCAGCTTGGTCCACAAATACACTTGCTGCTGTATTTTATTACAGTAAATAATAATATATTATTAAAATTCTGGAGAGTCATTCCTCAACAAAACCTGTTTCAGTCTTTCTCAGTAGTTGTTAAGTGTTCCTCTGGCCTCTGTCTACATTCCTGTAATTCAGTTGAATTTACTCGTCTCCTCACAAGCTCTAATCACATTTATCAGATCTCCAAACACTGTTTGGCAATTACTTCTGATTATTACAAGCCCGACCAGCATCAACCTGAGGCCAGAAATCTGACCGGCCTCTGGCAGTAGGGTCAACTTCATGTTTTTTTCAAATGTCTCATCTTGCTCATGTAGATGGAACAACTCCCTCAGCAACCGGCCAGCATTGGCCCAGGATGGATCATATCCAGAACAATTAATATAAAGTAATTATGCATATCAGCCTTAACTTAGGCATGTGATTTCCACACATAACCAAATCCCCAGGACTCCAGGGGTGATGGCTGTGTACACATGTAACATTTGAGGTGTGGGAGGAAAATATATGCACCCCACCACCACTGGCTCCATTGTGATAGGATTAAGGGTAACATTAGACACCACAGGGTAAAGCCCAGCAGAAGCATTGAGGAAAGCAGAAGTAATTGGTGAGGAACCTGCAAGCAATACAGAGAGAGAAGTGTAGGGTGGTGCTGAGACTGGCTCTGCAGGCATCTTGGTTAAATTACAATTGCTGCAGCTAAGGTTCTTCCTCAAGGCTTTCATATTCATTTTCTACCATCTTCTTCATGGTGGTCATATGCCCAATTATCCCATACATACCAATAATCCACTTGCTGCAGTTTTTAATTTTCCAAAATTTCCTATAGCATAGCCACCTTTTTAAATTCAAAACATCCTTAATGGGGCCATACCCCCGCTCTTCTAAGTGCTGGCCAGTCTTCCTTATGCAGTGTTATTGCTGATTTTTTTGATAGACCTGCGGTGACATCTATTTTCCTTCATTTTTCTGGTACTTTGGCTGAGGGCATCCCTTTCTCTGTTCTGGGTATGTTCCCCATAACTGTATGTAAAATTCGTGCACCTTATGAGGATAAGACCTCCCATACTTCTCCTAGCATGCTTCCAAGGTGGGACTCAAACCCACCTGGACCCAGAACACCTAGAATTTAGTAGCAGAATTTTAACACTCACTGGTTGGTGCCTCCTATCCCATAAGTTCCCAGGTGAAGTCACTCAGGGCCAGGAGTTGGACATTTGGAGATGAGAGGATCTGATGGCTGTTGCCTAGAGTCCCACTGCATTACCAGACTTAAGAAAACTATACATGCTAGCCATCATAGCAGGGTTTTACTCTAGGTTTCTGCTGAATTGATAAGCTGAGAGGTAGATTTCTCTATAAAAGTAATTTTTTATTAATGCAACTATAACTTGAGCTGGGTGCCTCCAAAGGGGGAACCTCAAACCAAGAAACCCTTGGGCAATTATACCCTTGCAGTCTAAATTCCTCACCCTTCATGCAGCAGTTCAGATCAGTAGTAATGTTAGGGTCTGGGGTCTTCCTGTTCTGCTTTGTGTCCTTTCACTGCCTCTAGGCGAGACATTTCTTATCTCTAAAGCTGCAGTTTCTGTTAATGAAAGTAGCTTCTGTATCTTCTGTCTTGACCTGGCTCTGCGGCCTTCTTTTACTTGACTAGATAAAGTTCAACATGTCTAGGTGAAAATTCACAGCTTGCGGCCTAAGGCTTCAGCAAATTTAGCTCCTGATGCTCAGCAAGTTATGCTTCTATATGAGTAGTTTACCAAATTGCACAACGTGGGCCAAGCACCTCACTTCTCACAAGCCGACGCTCCAGCTCTGCGCCTTTGCAAGAGACATGCTCAAAAGCACAGTGTCCACAGGCTGCCTTCCTTGAGTCTTGGGTGTTTCTTGGGAAGACACAGTAATTCTTAAAAAAAAGTTAGAAAACAGCAAAAACATGGCAGACCTGAGGAATTGCTGCATGAGGACAGAAGGGTGAGGATCTTGCTTTAAGACACGTGGCTGGCAACGAGAGAGCTCATCAGGGTTCAATGTCCTTCCGTTTCTTTTAAGTGGGGAGATGTGTGCTGCACCCCTGGCCACATATCAGTGTCCCTGAATGTTTGGGGCACCCAGTGGAAACATTCTTTGTGACCTCAATGTCACAAATCAGTCACACAAATTTTCTCACACGTTATGGTGGAGCTAATTTTTTTTTTTAATTGGTTTTATTCTCTAGAAATTTGGCTGCCAAGGTTTGGGATGTGATAGGACAGCAACACAGTTCTGGTTTGTCAGAAACGTAATATACTATCTGATTGAATTTTGCCAGAGGGAACTGGTTCATACTTGCCTGCATGTTTCAAACTAACATTTTCACTGTGTGGGTATTTATCCCCCAGTGGCTTTGCTATTGAGCACTAGAGAAGTATGGTGTTTGAACATTTGGATAAAAAAAAACCAAACACCCTTACCTGAGTGCAGCTGGATGCAGTGGGGCTCTGCCAGTGGGCCCCACTGTGAGTTATGGGGATGTGAGTTATGTTGTCCATAATTTATATAGAGACTGACTGTAGGATCCCAGTTCTGGATGCATGTAGCTTATAGATGCTACAGGGCATGCATATGACAGCTGAAGCTTTAAAGATACTGATTTACACTCTGCCATTGCTACTGCAATGTGACAACATGAATCTGAGACACCCTGTTGAATAATTGACAGGATATGCTGCAGCCCACAATACGTATTTATCTTTCACCTCCCAGTGGGCATTTACTTTAAAAATAGAGGTATCCTAGAATCATAGAATGGTTTGTGTTGGAATGGACCATAAAAATCATCTAGTTCCAACCCCCCTCCCATGGGCAGGACACCTTCCACTAGACCAGGTTGCTCAAAGCCCCATCCGGCCTGGTGTTGAACACTTCCAGGGATGAGGCATCCACAACTTCTCTGGGCAACCTGTTCCAGTGCCACACCACTAGGGTCGGTTCCTTACTAATTCTCCCTACATTTCCAACCAAAAGTTGTTCATGTTTGTGTTTAATTCTGATTTGTTTTCCCAACGGGTGGTGGCAGGGGGTGTTTTACAACCAGGGTGTGGGTCCAGCTGTCATAGAAGCCCTGGAGCCTCTGAGCAGCAGAGGGGCCTTTGCTGTGGCTGCTGTGCAGGCATTTGTCACGGCCCAGCTCAAGTGGCTGCTGACGGTTCAGGTGATGTGTTGTGTTTTAGATTTGAGTAATAAATGTTTCATTCCCATTTCACTAACTCTTTGAATTTACGAACCTTGTTTCTTAAGTCTCCTGGTACTTCAGGGGATCAAAACAACCACAGTGTATTCACCCTCCTATCCAGCTTGCAGCATGAGCATCTGTCACCACAACAGCCCAAAGAGTGACTCTGCAGCATTTAACTCACTACCCAGTCAATGGCATCTATGACTTTATTCTGCCCTGACCATGAAATTATGACTCTTCAGATGAAGAAAAGAAAACACAAACAGACTACTGCTCTGGAAATGCAGTTTAAATTACAGATAAACTGTCTTCAGGCTTGGGACATGTACGATTTTGGAAATATTTTTTAATTTAGGAACCTTAACAAGCAAAGTGATATTTTACTTCCAAAAAACAAAGAGGAGAGAAGAAAATAAGAAAATTAATTGTTTTGTTTTACTTGTATTTTTCTGTTGTCTGTACGAAGTATTTGGAAGAGTCGTTACCTTTTTGCAAGTTACTTAAAAAAGAAGGAAAACTACAATCTGCAGAATGCTTCAAATTGGTTGTAAATAAAGGAAGAATACATGGGGTTCTTTACTATTGTTACTTGTACACTTACCCATATGCTGTAATTATCATTTTGTCTGTGGTCCTAAATAGGCTTAGAAAGGGAGAATCAAAGAAGCCCACCTCCTCTGATGTGTATTTTTAGAAGCATTCCAGAATTCACCAGTTTTCAGACTGGAGGGGCTAGTTGGTCAGCTGAACTGTCATGTACTATTGTCTCCTGAAAGTGGAAATAGTTTGTGGAATTTATTATACCTTAGCCTAATAAGTATCACATGGGATACTTTTACATTTTATGTATATTTATTTATATACACACATATATTTAGGCATGTATGTAGACATATGTAAGCTTACACATTCTATTTTATATTTTTATATTTTAGTAGCTTGTCTGTATGTATGTACACACATATTTAGTGAAGTACTGTTATTTTGTTGGTATGACTAACACTTTTTTCCACCTCCTTTAGTGATCGTAGCATGAGTTCCTCGAGGATAATGGACCCTAAGATGCGAGAGGCTGAAGGAGATGGAGAGGACAATTCAGGTAGAATTGCGCCCTTTCCCAGAGAATGAAAAGTGCTATGATTTCTTGAGCTTCAAGGCTTCAGCTCTAACAGAGAAGTGAATCTATTTGTTTAGAGAATGCGTTCTGCCTTTCTCTTCTCCTGTTTCCAAGAGCTGTTATATTTTTTTTACCTTTTCAGTGGCTTGAAATAAGATTTTTGTAGCATCTTGTGATGAAGCTAACTTTTTTATCCAACAAGATCCACGAGTGAGTGAAATGCTGACAAGGATGCCTCACAGGGCTGTCATGCCAACTTAAACGGGACAAGCACAAGTTGGAATGTCCCATGCAAAACACTGATTTAATTTTAAATAGTTTCCTTCACAGAGCTTGCAACTGATCCTAATTCAGGTCTTTCCTCACTGAGCAGACTAGAATTGCTTTTCAAGGTTATTGCTTGATTTCTAGTTGTGATCCACTGAGTCTTGTAATTAGCATTCAGAATATTCTGGGATGTATTATAAAACCAACACTTTAAAAGCATTTGCCTCCCGACAGTGCACATTCACCTATGTATGCCTTTTCTACATTTAAATTGGTTTTGGTAGCACTGCCCTTATCATCACTGTTTAGCTTGCTGAACAAAGGCAGTGAGTTTCGAAGTTGTAATTTCTTTTCTGTATCCCAGGCTGTTAAGACCAAATTTTTCCTTCACAGTTTAATTACCTGAAGAAGCAAGTAGAAACTCTATTAGGAATGATTCTACACCATCAGTTATTTTTTATGTCTCATAAACATTGCAATCTATTCTTCAAGATAATAGTAATTTCATGCTAACAGTATAGTCTTGAAAGACATTAATGCAAGAGTGGACTGTATTGCATTTTCCAGGAAATTATAAAGGAATTATCATTGTTCTAAAATTTGCACACGCTGCTGGTTGCTTCTTATTTATGTTTCTTCACTTAGGAAAGAAAAAATCAAAGTTCAAATCTTTAAAAAAGTTTTTTGGTAAAAAGAAAAGGAAAGAGACACCATCTTCTGCAAGCAGCAATCTGAAGTTGTGCCAGTCAGCAAGTGATGTTGCGGCCTCTCACGACATGCGCATTAATTATGACTCTGAAGATGAACTTGAGTAAGTCTTTGGACTCTCCCTGGTAAACAAATATAAAACTGCTACAATGTTTGTAGATTTAAGACACCCCAAAATTGCCTTCTCTTGTTCAGCATGGTGAATTTTCAAGCAGTTCCTTTTTCTAGGAAAGTGCAAATTAAAATGGCTGATGCAAGACAAATCAGAAGGTAATTGGATAGAGTGCAGCAAGAAATATTAATTAAAAAAGCTTTCCTTTAATCATAAACAAGGCTTTGGTTGTAATTTCAAAAGAATGTCATTCCCATCTTGAAAAATTAATTAGATACTCAACTTATATCCTACCAGGATTGCCTTATGCCCCTAAAATATAATTCCTAAGGATTTTTAAAGAAATTCAGTTGCCTAACCATTTATGCCAGGTTTTTGAAAGCAAGGAAGGAGTAAAGGGATGACTGCAAATGAAGTCAGCAGGAACCAGAGGCTCTGAAGATTTTATTTCCCCTGTTTACATGGGATTCATTTGACCAAAGGACAAATATCTGTGTCTGAGTTATAGATCCGTAGATTCATAGATGAGTTGAAAGGGACTTTAGTGATCATCTAGTTTCAACCCCTCTGCCATGGACAGGCATTGTTAATCACCAGCATTTTGTAGTTATCAGAGAGAAGTCAGCATTACTAAGAAAGCTTGTATCATCCTTTTGCATGAAATAGGCTCTAAGAAGTGCCTATATCTCCCCACTGAATGTAAACAGGAGCCAGGGCCGACCAGCTCTGATGTAAATACCTGTGGTGTAATGTCTGAAGTTAGAATCCCAACCTGTGTATCTATCTGCCTCTGAAAGTCCCGTCTTCGTTCTGGCATTGCCAAAAATGTTACCCACTATGAAAGGTAATCACGAGGAACCCCAAGGAACCCAGTCTAAAGTTCGAATATGTTCCTGGATGGAAAGAGGGACTGAAGAGTCCCTTGGCTGCCTAAAAAGCATGTCCTTGCATTGGTGGATGTTTTGCCCTTCAGAACAAGCCTCCTGGTCCTCAAGCAAGAGATGCTGCTGTGTTCAGGGATGGGAAAGAAAAACCATCCTGTCCATTTAAAACATTATACGATGTGGCCACCAGGCAGCGCCAAACAACCAAAAGAAATTATTAACAATTCATTTTTTTTTTTAGTTTGTTTTGGGGTTTCTTTGGGTTTTTTTGTTTTGCTTTTGTGGCATTGGCAACAGTCATGTTAGTCCATCTTGAAGCCCCAGGAGTTCTGGGCTATCAGCACCGGGTGGTCTATAGTGTTGTTGTTTGACAACATATTAATAAGACACGGATGATGAGATTTTCTTTCTCTTGTGAACGACTTAACGAAGTCATGTCTAAGTGGGTACAATCTTTGGCTGTTCTGGCCATGTTGCTGTGCCCTAAATTGAAGGGTTGTTACATTATTGTTTCTTAATATTTGTTTAGTCAGACAAAGACCAGGAAATTCTTTGAAAGGAAGGAAATTAATTTGAACACTCATAATGTGAGGAGACATCCAGCGTACCTCCTTTGTGCATCTGGGAGGTATGCATCTGATAGAAGGAGAAAATGAGGCTAGCATGCTGGGATAAATGTGCACTGCTTATCTGGGTGCTGTCACAGTCCTTGTAAAATGCTGGTGAATTGGGCAGCCACTGCAGCCCTGACTGGCACCTACTTTGCAAATTGCTATAGATCTGTCTGACCTTGGATGCATTGCAGAGATCACCTTTTCATTTAGATAAAATGTTCTTCTAATATCTCTAATGCATTAAGCAGAAGTAGGAAGCTTTCCTTCCTTCTGCAGCAAGAATACAGATGAACTTTTTCCTGCCATTGTTTTATCAAACATATTTATAGCAGCCATTATGAGAAAAATGTTACTTTCTGCCATGTTTGTTTATGTTTGTCTTGAATGTCCCTATGATGGTATCTAAGATCCAAAAATACACAGATTTTTTTTGGTTTTTGTTGGTTTTTTTTTTAAGAATACCTGCTCAATTAACTTGACAGTTACATGAACCCAAACAGTTCTGTATTCTGCACTCTCATAAGAGAAAATCCCAGGGGTCTTGATATAAAGCACGGCAGCACCTTGTAAGGATCTTGTAAGGATTTATGCAAATGATTCTCTGTGAGAACTACATCGCCTGAAGTATTTTTGCTAATTATTTGTACAGCAGAGAAGCATTAAACGCTGTACCACATTTAGGTGGTAAGAGATACTTATTCTTCCTATGGTAATGGTCAGTCATTTGCAAGACACGTTCTGACGTTAGTGAGAAATTAGTCCAGTTCTAGTACAGGCTCATTTGTGTGAACTCCTTCGTTTTGCACGTGGTCTTGCCTGCAGCACTGTCACACCACCCAGCTGCTGGATTCCAGCCAAGGGGCAGTAGCTTTTTCCATGAGATATAACTCATTTAACCCTGATTCAGTTTGTTAATGTGACAGATAACAGCATTTGCAAATTTTTGTTTGATTTTTAAAGGTGTTACTTAGATTAGCCTGAATGACTGTATTGTATTCATGGAGAAGTCTGAAATCTTGTTTGTGATGTGCACACCTGTCTCCCACTCCACATTCAACAGACTACCTGAGTTAAAAGAAGTGGCAAAAAAGTCTATATGTTTTCACTAATTTGTTATATTGTTCTAGGGCACATAAAGGCATTATGGGAAGCAGAGCTTTGTCACATGATAGCATTTTCATCCTTGAGACTGGGCAAGAGCCTGCAAGGCCAGTAAGAGTGTTTTCTCAAGAAAACATTTCTGACCGGATTAGAGCTTTACAGGTAATTTACACAACATCATTTTTTCAAATGGAAGAGGTGGAATGTCTTCACAGACTTGATTTTTTGGGGCTAATATTAGTAGCTGAACATTTGATTAGTAAGTAATATCTGTCTGCAGTTTACTTGCATGTTACATTTGTTAATTTGACAGCCTTATCATATCTTCTACTTAAATGATAGCTGAAAATTGGGTAGGTTGTTTGGCTCCCTAAGAGAACATCTAAAGCAGATGTCCTGTGCTCTGGATTATTCAATTGTGAAGTTAAAATAATGGTAACTCATTAACCTGAGCTAAAAGATGTTCTGGGGAAACCTCCATCATATCTATCTATACTATCCATCATACTATGCTAATGTATTTTATGCCACACTGAAGCTGAAACTCCAGCCTACCATGAAATTGGGACCTCCACCTCCATTTGGACTTCATGCAAAGCGAACAGAGGATGCTGGGACCAGTTCTGAAGATGATGGATTACCCAGAAGCCCTCCAGAAATGTCTTTGCTCCATGAGAGCCTAAACTCAGGCACAAGAACAAGAGTGAGTGGTTCCAGTGTTGACAAAAATCAGTGTTCAATGACCTGTTTTACCTATGTGTGGAAGGCAAAATAAGTTATTTTGTTTGCTGTATATGTCCTTATTTTATCGCTGAACAATTCAGAAATACCTTACTCAAAATGCTTACTTAGAAAACAGCTACTTAGAATCTCTGTTCCTGTTAAAATATAAATATCACACCAGAAAATGCAGAACTAGGAAGAAGAGGATGTGTTTGTGTGTATGCATGGGAATGCTGTGGTTTTTATAGAGACTACAGAGAGCTGCCAGGCATAAAAAAAAAGGCTGAAGAATCTGTATTCCCCCTTGAGTATGCTGATAAGAGAGCTCTCTAACGTTTTTCTAGGGTGTCATTGGAAAAAGAAACAAAATAATTTGAAGCTGGTTTTTTTTAAATGATAGTTTTGTTACACATTATTTCATTCTTTATCTGCATGTCTTACACTTTATGTTTGCAGTGTCCTTGCTAATCTTTAAGACTATAGAGAAAAACAACGTACATTGTCAGTACCCTTGTGCAGTTTGTGTAGATTGTTTCTGCGATTATATCCACCTTGTTTTTCATCTTTTACTGAATCTCTTCCTCATTCCATCCCACAGTTCTTTGACTCTCACAAGCATCTTAGCTCTTTGAGTTTAGCTGGAACAGGCAGTGAAGAAGAAGAACAGGTAACTTCTGCCAATGTATTAAGGGACAAGCAATTACCCACAGTAGTTTTTTAAAGGAATTTAAGACATAAATATTATTTTGTTTCTTGTCTGCTGCAAAACCCAACTTCGTATGTATGTAATTGCATATCTATCTGTTTACTGTGCTTTTTTAATGCCTGTCCATCTAAGATAAAAGCTATGATCATTTATCAACATAATTCTGATGCCACGTAATCTCCTGTTGTTAATAATTAGGGTGTCTAGAATAGGTCATATCCTTTAGCAAACTTTACAGATATGATTTAATCTCTGAGCCACAGACACTGAAACAGTATCCCCCCTTTTTAAAGATGGGAAATTGCAGTAAAGGCTGCATGAGTTACATGCATAGGGTAAGGGAGAAAGCTTATTGAAGAGATGTGAACCAACTCTTGGTCATCTGAAATCTGCCCAGACCATGCTTTAAGCACAGAATTACCTTGCACTAATACAGAAAGTGTTTGCCTGATGTTAGTGGCTGACATTACTGCTTAGGAGTCTGAGGCTCAGCCTTCAGCAGGATTCTGGCTGTGAATTTTGCTGCAGTGATGTTTTCAGGGCTTGAGTATAGGCGAATGGATGACTTTCTTCAATCAGCAGCCAGCTGTTCTGGCTGATTAAAGGGCTGTTTTGAAAAGCTCTGAAGAGTCCCTTTTAGCTGTCCACAGCTGGAGTCATGGTGGAAACAACACGGGGGTAGAGGGAAGAGCGTTTTCTAGAAACAGGAGGAGGGGTGAAGGGGAATTGCAGAAAGGAAATAGAGAAGCTAGTCCTGAGCTGACCATTTCTTGGTAATTATGCAAAATGCATTTCAAGGCCAGCTGCAGCAGGGCTCAGCATTTTAGATTCCACATCAATCTATTTAAAAAACCTGTTTATATGCAGTGAAATTTTAATATTTTTCGAAGAAAATCAACAAAACTCATGAAGAAGGTATTTCTTGAAAACTGATTTGGGCTCACTGTAATTTTGTACAGTCCAGATGCATGTTTGTTAAAGGAGGATTTACGTCTCCCTGTTGTTCCATTAACATCACTTTCTGACTCACTCGCTGACTCCTGAGGCATGGTAGTGACTACACAGTTGCTTAGCTTTTTCCATATGCCCCATCATTTAGCTCAGAGCTCTCTTCATCCCAGTCCAGTTGCAGAGTGCAGCCAGAATGTAGCTCCATCTGAAGGCTTTCCTCCCAAACCACAGGAGCGGCATTTCGGAGAGACTTAGCCCTCCTTCTAAAAGCCAGAGGAGACCAGTTTCCAAGGCCGAGGAATTTTGCACAATGCAGCCCTGAGGTTTTGGACAGCAGTGACACTTTGCTGTATCTTCAAAGGTTCCCTGAATCAAAGAAAGGAAAAAGGAATCGTGAGTGTCCTGTCTAGGCTTTGGGGCTGGGGCTTCCTCATGGCCTCCCGCCTTGTACCACCCACCACGACCAGCTGACAGACGGACAACTGAGCCATGTGCACATGAGATTTGGAGAAAGGGGTCTGCCAGCTGTTTCCTTCTTCAGCAGGCTTTGCCAGAGCCAGACTTTGTGGGACAGCAACTTCTGCAGCCGGCTCAGAGCTGGCATTCACTCAGTCTGCTTTAATTTAAGTAAGAAACCAGATTTCGGATTTTCCAGCGTAATGGCCAACACTGAGCACTGCCAATGAGAAGACATGCAAAGTTCTCAAGGAAAAGCAGGAGCCAGAAGAAAGGCAGGCAAATAATGACGTGCCTTAAAAGAGAACAGGTGCTGCATCTTTATCATGGAGCTGAAATGTCAATGTATTCACTGTTAGGTGCTAATGTATAATGCAGCCACGTATCGTTTGTTGTACATTAGTCATGTTTGAGTACTAGACTGCAGATACTGTAGAGTGAAAATTAATGAGAGCATCCATTATTCAGAATGGCTGTGCTACTTTTTTTTTCTTAAATAGAAAGTATGACCAGAAGCTGTGGATCCAGCCTCTGCTAAAATCAATGGGAGTTTTCCCCTGGCCATTGAGGAATCTGTAGCAGGCCCTCACTACACTACAGAGTGTCTTTTGGCTACAGTGCATAGTGCAGAATTCTACTTGCAGGAAACACTGATGCTTTTTCTCTCCCAAAATAAAACAAACAGTAGCCTGCTCTCCCCATCTCCATTCCAGCCCTCTTAGTAAAATACCACTTCCAGAGAAAAAAGTAAGAAGAAAAGAAGAAGAATGCATGACAAAGCAGGAAAGCTCCTTGAATGAAATGAATTAGAATTTTAAGCCTACAAAGGAAGTGCTATCACAGTTGTTAGAGATCATGTTAATGCTGTGACAGATAGTTTGGAAATAACATTTTGCCTATTTGCAAAACTGAATCTGAGAGAAAAGAGGAACTCTTTTCAGAGTAATTTTTCATAAATTTTCCAGTCTCATTTTTGCATCATCCCTGGGACTAGGGTGGTTTTTGATGGAGCTCAAAGGTAAGCTGGATTCCAGCTTCATGAAAGTACTACACCTCTTTCAGCACTCAGGAGCTGTTTCTGGATGGGTTATTTGCCTCAAGTAGGAATTGTCCATCACTTCCTTCCCCAGAGTAGTCTACAAATGAAATTTTACATTTCAGATAAACTGCCTAGTTATTTTGCAGATATATAAATACATGAGGTTCCCAAATCTTCGTTCGCGAAGCCTAGCCATGGTACATGAGGTGAAAACACAAGCTGACTTAAGTGTCAGTGCCACTAATGTTCGATTCTTTTGTCTTTAGGAGGGTGTTGTAAAGTTTGAAGGGACATGATGACATACAGGAAGCTAGAGTTGCTCAGCACAGCACAACTGTGGGTGGGAGCCTAGACAGAGATGCTGGAGGACAGACCCAGAAAGGAAAACGGCCCTTTAGGTTCTGTAACAGAGTACTCTTCATAAATCTGTCTTCTAAAACATGCTGGCCATGTATTTGTGTGCTTTAAATCTTTCAGTTAAATGTGACTTGCTCCTTCCCACTGGATAGTACCTCATGATATTCAAGCAGCTAAAAATGCAGAATTGCTAACAGTACATCACGTGCAACATTAGGAAATGCAATGTATTTTAAAGAGAATCAAAAAGAAAAAGAGGCGCAGTTAAAATACTAATAAACATGGCCATGTATTTGTAGAATTGTTATTTTCATGTCTTTGTTTCTTTGCTTGATTCTCTGGGGATTTTTTTTTTTTGCAGGTTACATTGCATCCTTCTAGAGCTCATTCTACAGATGGTCAGCTGTTCACTAGGCATGGAAGTGGATCTCTGCAGACATCTGACAGTACCGTCTCACCTACAGCCAATTTTGACACTCCACCTGAACTTTCCACTTTCTTGGATAATTCTGCTGCTAAACATAAGCTTTTAATAAAACCCCGGAACCAGAGATCCAGTAAAATGAGAAGATTTTCTCAGGTACTTGTGAAAATAATCAGTGTCACCTTTGAACCCAGAAAGTTCTTACTGGACTTTGTATTTCAAACTCTGATATGATAAAATCATATCGTGGCATGGATGTTTCATTGGGTTTTAATAGCTGTTATCTAATGAGGCTGCATATCAGGAGTAGACATTAGGAACAGATTAACTATTATGAGTTTACCTGTTAACTCTTGATGCAGCACTTTGTGTAACAATTTCTTCTTAAATTTACTGTGCAATACAGTTTAGTATCCTATTTGTGGTGCAGAAGCTGGTCTGACCTATTAATTGGGGCCAAATTCTGTACATAAAGACTGTCCTAAATTCAGACATCTCCCCACCCCAAAACTTGTAAATCCTTTACGTGCATTATAGAGAATTAAAATAAGTTTTCACAGGAAAAAAAAACAAAGCAACCAACCAAACAAAAAAAAAAAAAAACCGAAAAAAACCAAAAACAAACAAAAAACAAAGCACAATGGAAAGCAAAATATATACTATTAAAAATACATTAAAAACTGTATAGTATTAAAAAAAATTGTTTTTGAAACCATGCTTTTAAACACCATTTATCTTATTCTTTGTCATATCTTATGAAGGGCATAGCTTAGTTTTTATTCTTTCTCTCGTCTCTTTTATCACTGAAGTTTGCAGCTCTTATTACAGTATTTGCTCTATTGTTCATTGGGCTTTCCACGTTTTAAAAACAGTAAAACCATTAATTTAGCTTGCTTATTACCAGAAATATTATTCCCTCTGTCTCAAAATATGACTTGGCTGATATTTTGTATTTCCCAAAATCTGTGAGTGGCCTTTCAGCTCAGTAAAGCATTGCTGTGAGCAACAGAATGATAAGGCCCATTATTTAGAAAAGCATGTAAAGCAATAATTCACTGGTCAAACCTCCTCTTCCATTCTAACAGTTACTAAAATACAATTGCTTGTCCAGACTGCCTATAAACTGCCAGATGACTGAGCCCTCCTGGTTTTCCATGGAGAGCGTTCACATGCTTTGATAATACAGTTTTTAATATTCTCTTGCCCAACTCTACCTGTGCACCTTGCTTCTGGCTAACTGATGTCTTCTGCTTTTATGCTCCTATGTATATGGATTGTGAATGCAGGTGGCATTTCAACTCTGGTTTTGCAATTGCATTTACAAAAAAAAGAAGTTGGAAGAACCCTAAAATATCTTCAAAGTGCAGGTTTTGTGTTCTTAGAATTTAGGGCCTACATCCAAAGTATATATTTACCCAACAAACTACAGTGAACCAGTGAGCTAATACAGGCACCATATGAAAAGGCATATTCAGCAGCTTAATACTGTGCTTTCAAATAATCCAGCATATTTAGCCAGTCCTCACCTGAAATTTAATCACAAGACCTCACAGGTAACTACATCTGAATTTATAAACTTTTCTCAAATAGTGTAACTCTTGAAAAAAAAAGCAGACTTTTACATAAAGGAAGCAAGGTTGTAATGCCATATGGCAGTGGGATTAGACACAAGATTGCCATATGGGGCAGATACTCAGCTGGCATGGATGGGTTTGTTAGGCTTTTACTCTTCCTTCTATATATTCTTCCCTCTTCGTAGTCATACATTAGAAGGAATGGGTTGTTTTATTTTTAATGCTAGTATGGAGTAGCAAAATACAAAGGGACAGATTTTTCTCTTTCAAGTGCTACTTTTTGCCTAAGAGCAACACAACACAGGCAGTATGCTCTGGGGAATCAATTGCTAAGGACAGTCCAATGGCCATTGTTTTGATGAACTTCCCATCTATAAAGGCATGAAAGCACTAGTTGTGCAGAAGGAAGTGTCAGTCATTGCTTTTATATTGGTTAAATGCATTATTCCAGGATGTGCTTAAGTAAAAAAGCATCCAGTCTGTAGGTTAAGAAAACTGCAAGCGCAGCGTCAGAGGCAAGTATTGCCTTCCTCTCTAAGATCTCAATTGTAAATGTAATGATGAATAAGAAAAAAAGTGAAGCTGTACATGATGATGGGGCTTTCTGAATTTCTTTCTTGCAGAGGACCCAGTCTGAATCTCTGACTGATTTGAGCTGTACCCCAGAAGAAGAAGAAGAGGATGATGCTGTATTCAAACCCAGCAATCAAGAACTGCCATGGACCGCAGCTGCAACGCAGGATGCTGTTTCCTGGCCAAAGCCCAGAATGCCTGAGGACCTCCCCCCTGCTTTGAGACCAGTGATGACTCAGCCTGCTTCTGAGCCTGCTGCTGTACAGGAAGCCCTGCTTCCAGATAATAAGCCACAGGACTGCCAACCAGTGCTGGAAACAACATCTGAAGAGTCTGAGTCCTCAATGCTGATAGAAGACAAAGAGCCCGCAACTTCTTCCTACTCCAGTCCAGACAGAGAAGTAAAAAAGCAAGAAGATTCCTCAGAAACACTGGTTCTCTTGTCTGGGGATGTGAGTGATATGTCAATCAATATTTTAAATCAAGAAAATAAGGAGCATCCTGCTGTGTTTCCAGTAAATAAAACACCATCCGAAGAAAATATTCCAATTAGTAAGAATAGTGTTGTATTATTGGGAAGGTCAGACGAAAATATACAGAAGGATGATCAGGTACCTGTGGAAATGCCCTGTAGTGAAGAGGCAAAGAAAGAGTTTACTCTATTGTCAGAGTCCAGCAAGGAGTTTTTTGTGGGTTCTTCCCAACCCACAGACTCGTTCCATGTTTCACATCCTGCTTCCTCAGTGTGGATGGGATCATCTACTTCCTGCTCTCTAGAGAAAATAAAAACTGCACAAGAGGCAGCTGCTTCTGGTAAGGAGAACAGTCAGTCACTGGTCCACAAAGAGGAACTACTGGGGAACAAAGCTGAAAAAGTAGTCAGTGAACTCAATGCCTTCAGAAAGTTTTCTGTTTCCTCTGCACGAGAGAGACCAAGAACCAGAAGCCTACACTTCCCAGAAAGATCAGAGTTGGAAAGCCCATTAAATACTGGATTCTTCCTGTCCAAAGAAAAGGTTTCCTCAAGAAATGAGAAGTGGAAAGAAGACTTCCAGAAGGGATCAGAGCTGGACGAGGAAAAAAGTAGCAACAAAAAGCAGACCTCGCTGGCAGAGGCTGACTCTGAGAACACAGAACCTACAGAAATTTTGGCTGGTTATGCTTCTCTGGCTGTTGATGCAGTGCTGATGCCAAGCAATTCTTCGGTGGTATCCCAGAATCAGCCAAGCTGTAAAGATAAAAGTCCTTTTCAAGTGAAACTTAGATCCACCTCACTGTCCTCGAAATATAGAGACAACTCATCACCAGAATCAAAAGAGATTAAAAGATTCAGTGCAGAATTTAATTTAGAAAATGAGGGATTGACTTCCTTTCTAAAAGGTGATAAGGCAGAGATCAAAAAACCAGCCAATACAAATACTGGTGATTCTTTAAATGAAAAGATCAAACCTAAAGCAAAGTCCTCTGAACAACTTAGCAGCAAACCTCCACTGCCTAAAAAGCCAGCATTGCAAAACATCCCAAACACTACTGCAAACAAGGAGAAGCAGGAGAAATCTATGCATTCTCCTGAATCCAGAAGTGAAGACAAAGACTTGGAGAAACAGTCAGATTCTGGTAAAGCGCCTGGTAAGACTCCCAGAATTTTCTAAAATTACCTTCACTTGCAAAGAGTGACCTTATCCTGAGAGAGTGAGAGGCAGCACTGTTGTGTCAGTCATGACACTAATGAGCACCAGCTGATGGCTCTGCCTTCAGTGGTGTTACTCCATGATTCTGCCTTGCTGAAAAGGTTGTCAGAAAGACAGCAGGAGAGAAACAGCAGACAGAATTAAGATGGTTTTGCCTCTGATTTTTGCATTTCAGGGCATTGTTTAAAGGATGTTCAAAGTGACACTCAAAAAATAAAGTGCATTAGCAAGTATTGGGGAACGGAAATACCAGACCACTGACTGCCCCCATTTAGAGCTGCTGCATGGCAGTTCAAAAACCAGGAGCACATATTACGTGTAGTGCCCTGTGTGGGATGAGTGACTCAGACCTCTAGACCTTCTTTTCACCATAGCATTGAGACAGAAATGCAATGAGGCCCATCTTTGCCTTCCATGATCAACACACCATTTACTTATTGCCTCCTGCGAGCTTTGCTTATTCATTTATCCACCTTTATCATTAGTCATTGCTTGTTTAAAACAAAAATTAACAACCCTGCAGCTTCCTGGAGTTTAAAGCTAGGAGAGACCATAAGTTTGGGTCTGCTGCAGAGTTTTAAATTTCACCCTGTTGTCTCTATTATATAATTGGGTTAGAGTTTAAAAAAAAAATCAGTCCTCTGGAGACTGATATGCTGTGGGCTGCAGGCAGGGAACAGAAGACTGGAAGTGGCACTAGTGTCTGAGGTCTTTGCAATGACAGTAAACAAGTTTGGTGAGGCACACTCAAGCAATTCTAGCAGGAGACCTCTGCTCTTCATTTCAGAGAACAGCCAAGAGAGGAAAAAATAAATCCTTAGGTCTTCTGATATATGGGAGAAAATTATTCCCTGCCCTGGATGTGTCTGGTCATGGGTTTGATGTTAAGAATGTGAGGAGATGCTGGACAAGCAAATGTCAGGGTTTCTCTGTGCCATTGCAGAGCTCCCCTACTCTGGTTGCTCTTCTCTGTTTGGGGTCAGTCTCTGCGCTTTGGAGTGGGGAAGTACCAAGCAGCAGAAGACCTCAGGGCACAAGAGGCCACTTGTCCTACAGGGTGACAGAAGTCTCTTCCTGGCCTCAGGGACTGCTGCTGCCCTGAGCGGCATCTGATTCCAGCTGTCATCTGCCTTAGCATCGCAGATATTTTTGCAAGACTCTGGCCTTGTTTACAGATTCCTGCTCTCCCAGCAGTCATAAAGGAGGGGATTCGTTGGCATCCACAGCTGTACGAGGTCCCATTTAGTCAGAGCCTCCCCACATCCTGCAGGCAAGGCAAGAGATACACATATATATGTGCGTGTAATACATATGTATATAATCTCAGTGCCCCCTTTAAAAGCCTTTTCCCCTCTCTGCTGCCCTGACTAGTAGATTATTTGCAGTGATGCCCACATCTCTGATGGATTGAGATTTTGGGGAGGGTTGTACTGGAAACAAATGAGGAAGAGACCTAGCACAGTAGGGTTGGTCTGACAGGGGATTGAGAAAAGCAGTGGGACCACCAGTGCTCCTGCACAGAGCCCTTTATCTCTTCCCTCTTGCTGAGTCTCAGGGTCCCTCCAGATGGAGTGGGGCAGGAGACAATTAGTGCTGGGGGAAAGGAGAAGGGAAAGAAATGAAGCTGGGGAGACATATCTCCTCCAGGCTTCTCCTGTGGCTCCTCAGCCCTAGGGTGAAGGAGACTTCTGCTCCCAGGCTCAGGACTGCCCTCTGCAAAATAGGATCTGTGGGCAAGAGTCATGCCCCAGTCTCCCTGATAGGGATGCATGCACCTGGAATCTGAAACAGGGTTAAGAAGCCCTGTTTTGAACATGTACTGAGAGTATTACACCAAATCTATATGGCCTGGGGGTGTTTAACATGATGGTTCAGATTGGTCTGTGATGGTAACTAGTTTTTTTCCTTATATACTGCCCCACTGATCTTATTGTATCAACTGAAGCAGAGCTGCTACAGGTTTCCTCCTATCTCCAGCTTTGAGTTGCTTGGTAATAGGTTCTGAAGTAAGGGCATGCCAGGACTCAGTTTGCTCCAAACTGACCCGAGGTCCTTCCTATCCCATGGCAGAACTTTTTCTTTAGACATCTGACCAAGCACTACCTTCTACCCACCCAGCCCTCTCCTAGTCCTTGAGTTCATCAGCCCTTTCAAAGAGCTGTGGTCACCATCAGGAGACACTTCATGCTATCAAGGAGTTTCTTTCCACATTGTGTTAGGAATTCCCTGTGCTGAACAAGAAGACAAGCTGTGAAATGGTGATGTAAGGGGGTGCAGTTCCCTTCTCATGTATACTCATCTCGAAAAAGTTTGCTGTGTCATGGGGTCAGCAGGAGCAATTTGGTTCATTCAGTTCAAATTTTAGCTTTTCAGCATTCCTGGTACCAAAGACAACAGGAAGGCTGATGGAATGCTGGCTTACCACTGCAGGTGAAAGCAACGCTCCTGCTCCATGGAGTTTTCTGATGAAATAGTCGGGGATTGTTTGGCCTCTGTTGGGCTGCAAGGTGGCTCTTTAATGGATGTGTGAATATTCTGTGATTAGTCACCCCAGGAGGAGTAATTTTTAAGTTTCTGGAGCTAAAGGCACGAGTCCTTGCAAGATTTAAAAGGTTAAACTGTGTTGTTTGTAGTTGACAGACTTTGCTATAAATCCTGTAAAGGGCAGAAACAATTACCATATGCTAACAGGTTATTACAAGAGCAAAACCATAAGCAATACCTATGTGAATGTGCATATTAGGATATATAAAAATCAGCCACTGAGGAGCTATAGTGGGAGACATGCTCTAAACAGAGAAAAGGAGGAGGAAGGACATCAGGGAAGGACAATGGATGTAACAGTGAATGAAATTGGTGTGCATTGTCTGGTAAATAGAGGCTCTGAAATTACAAGAAAAATGTTTCTATCTACATCAAAAAGACATTGCTTTAATGCTGTCCTGGCTACAGCTAAAAACAAAGCTGTCTTTTTCTTTTCCTTTCTTTTTTTTTTTCTTTTTTCCAAAAGAATTTGCTTTCTCAGTTGTGTCAGTCTGTTTTGCAACATGGCTGTATTCCAGCCATGAGATACACTTTGATGCAAACAGTAGTTTCTTGTGTAAAAAGGACTCTCCTGGCATCTGTGGTATAGATCCAATCAAAAGTCAAATACCTCACAGAGCAGCTTAGAGAAGAAGGAAGTGACAGAAATACTTAGCCAAATCTTTTAGAATAGCTTTGAAATTAAGGAATCAGGTCTGTATACTGAAACGAATGCATGTAGTGCTTTAATAAACAAAGGGAAATATGTAGGCCGGGATATACTACATGCTATATGCATTTGTAAAGCCCTTCTTAAAATAACTGGTGTTTTATAAATGAGCAAAGATAAAACAGTGTGGAATTAAATATGCATGCATAAGCAGTGTTATAAAACAATGATACTTGCATACAGAGGGTGTTATCTCCCTGTGTAAAGTTGTTTGGATTAGTTTTGAGCATGTTTGCTTTCAAAACACTCAGGGAATCACAAGCTAGCTTTGCTTGCTTTTAATAGTTTGACTTTCAAAAGGCTCTAATATTCTGCCTCTGACCTTTCCCCTGCACAGATATACAGCAAGACTAACCACTCTTTGCAGTACTTGCAGACATAGAATGTTCTTTTCCAGGTATGAGATTTAAATGTTATAAAGAGCCTCTGCTATATTATCTTTGTGTACAGAGGTTTTTAGATTTAAAGAAAATGGGTACATATCTGAGGCCATCTCTAAAAAAGACAATCTCAGGGTAATGTTTGAATGTCTTTGCTGTGGTTATCCATGTAAGCAACACACACACAGAGATACATTTGAATACAGAGTATATCTGTCTGTCAGTAGACAGGAATAGGTATGTATTTCTCTTTCACGTTCTCTGTGTGTGTGTATAAACTGATGCACAATAAACAGTCAATCACAGATTTCCTTTTGCACATAAAGATTAATGTTTTATCTTCATCTTGTTGTTCACACAACCAATCTGACACATATTACATGATAATATCCAACTATCAATGAGAAGTGCACACATTCATTTCCACAATATTTAAGCAAAAGAAATTTTGTAAGACCAGAACTTTAGTCAGAGGGAAAAAAAAAGTAAGTTGTTTCAGTAAGATACTGAAGGAAACAGATGCCTGCATTAAATGGGTTTGCAGCAGGGGAATTTCCCCCTTTAGGAGACTACTGAGGCAGCCAGCCCTGCTGCTGTCAGACCAGTGGAGGGGAGCTCGGGGGATTCTGATGTGCAGGAGGGAACTGAAGTGGTGAAGAATGGTGAAGGAGCTGGTTTTGTGACTGTTCATGCGTGTTTGGTGGCTGTGGGAAAGACATGAAGGGAAGGCTTCAGCAGCCTCTGGGCACGGTTTCCAGTGGCAGCAGAAGACCTCAGTAGTCTACACTAATTTCTGGTTTTAATATTTGGTGACATTATGCACAGAGTGGCTTGACAAGTTCTGACCTGGTATCTTTCCGTCATTAGTAACTTAACCCAAGGGGAGGAAGGGGCTTTTCTCTTTCAAAATAGCCTGAGGCCAAGCCAGCTCCAAGGAAACCAGGGAAAGATGCAATCATGAGGTTAAAACGGTGAGTGAATGAGAGAAAAATTGCTGCCAGCTATGTCCTTTATTAGCTTATGAAGTTATTTTTCAACAAGTTGAATAGCACATTGTTTAAAATAACATGTTGTAATAAAAACTGAAGAATATGATTCAGATTGTAGTTTTACTCAGAAGATCTCCCAAGTGTAACGCAGACGCAGGAGGCTCGACCCTGCTTTGCCAGAGGAGAAGTGAAACACTGTGGTCTGTTGAACTTGCACAGCTTCCGAGAGAGGATGCCACTGCTTGCATTTTGTACTGTTATCTCCCTAAAAGTGGCATTGATCAGCTGGGTGCTTCTGTGCTTGTTGCTGAGCATGTGACATGCAGCAGAAACAGGAACTAAAATTGTCCTTTTGGTTCCACTCTGGCTACGCAATTCCTTAAACACTGTGCTTTGCCACGTGGTGAACCATAAAAGCACAGGGGCTATCCCATGACTGGATGAGATAAGACTAAAACAGCTTGTTCAAGGTGATCAGGCTGTTATGAATGGAGGAGGATGTGCAAGCAGCACTTCTCTTGAGAACAGTCATTTCCTGAGAAAGCTTTTTGTCTCTTGGTGTCTCTTAGGGTACCAAGAGCTTCATACGACAGTCTCAGGTCACCTTAAACTGCCAACTCGTGCTATCAACTGCCATGCTATCTCCTGGATTACTTCACCACCTTTCATCCTTCTGGCTGGAACAATGGTGCATGTATACTGCCAAGAAACCTTATGTAGTTGGAGGTGGGAGGATGTAAAGCACCTCTGGGCAATGGGAAAGATAATAAATAGTGAATATGCCTCTTCTACCACTTACAGTAATTCTGGCTGACAGATGAGGTAGCAAATCCTGCGTGGGTTGCATGTGATGATTTTTTGCTGAAGATAAGGCATTTCCTCTGCTTTGCCTGCCTTTCTGGCTTTCTGCAGCAAAGAATCTCACAAGAACAAGGGCAGAACCTAGTTGCTCAAAGATACAAGAAAGCCTTTCCCAGATGCAGATCAGCTCTTGATCCTCTATAGGTGATACTACTCTGCTGTCCTAAGTCAGGCCCATACAGATACATATAAAATCTTTTAGATTATGTTAAAGAGCTTTTGTTCCCTTTTGTCACAGGGGCATTCTGATACCATCTCTTATGGGATGATACTTGCCCCTAATTTGGCTGCTTTCTAATTGGCATGACTAGGATGTCTGGTGTCTTATCAGAGAGATTTGTCTAAAGACTGAAGGTGCTTGATGCCTTCGTTAGAGTATCTGCCTTATGAAAAACATTGTTGTAATATCAGCCTCCAGACATATCGCTGCAGGACTAGGAACCCTCTTGTGCCAGGCAGTGCACATTGAAATAACAGCAAGATGAATCCTAAATTCTTGAGGATGACAGAGAAATGGAAGCACAGGTAGCAATAAGACCATTACATGTAGAACAGTAAATAGAGCCTGGACATAGCAGTCATTTTGTCAGTATTGATTGTGTGGTAGAAGCAGAGGAGGAGGAATGTTGATGTTTACAGAAAGCTCCTGTGGTGTGACAGAGAAAATGGGACAAAACACAAAGGGGGATTTGGAGTAACAATGACTAAGTTGTACATCACTAGCAGCATCAAGGGAGAAACCAGGTTCCCAGTATCATTGAAAAGTTGATGAGTGGATTGAAAAGGGCCTGCAGGGTAATGACGTTGGAGTTTTTGAGGACCAAGACATTACAAATGGCAAAGGAAGGTGAAAAGATGGTCAAATAGTTTGTGTGTGGTGGTGTGTACAGCCAGAGAGCTCTTCTCAGCTCCGAGGAACGCTAGACATCACCTTCAGTAGTGGCACTCACCTGCATACCATGTAGTGCTTTGGGAACTGATGAAGCTTAGCACCTGGTTTTCCTGGTCCTGCCCAAATTGCTCACCACCTTAAAAGGTGCAGGTGAGTTTAAGGGCAGGACCTGCAAGCAAAGGAGGGAATGTGATGGCAGATGCCTTAACAGATATCACATCAACTCTGTGGGTGTACTTATGAAGCAGTTTGTCCTAGGATACTCAGAGAAGGTGGGCTAGCAGTCCTTGAGCTGCTAGTGGTTATCTTGGAGAACTGTGGAAGTTAAGGGGCACTGACTGATGTGTACAAGAAACCATTTCAAGAAACCATGAAGTGGCATAGGCCTTCCACTTCAGCTGATGCTAACACCATTTCATCTCAAGTGTCAGTTTTGAGCAGTGTATTTGCAGAAGATTTCAACCAAATTAGGACAATTCCTATAAAAGCAAGAGCGATCTAGAGAATATTTTTAATCAAAATAGTTAAAAAAATAGGGAAAACATTGTGTTAGTCTTCAAATATATAACAGGCTGCCGCAAGGAGTCTATGAGTAATCTGCTCATGTCCACAGTGTGTAGGAGAAGTAGTTAAGGATTTAAATTGCAACAAGGGAGATTTAACTTACTGTATAGGCAAAAAAAAAATAGTAGAAAAAAAAAGAGCCATGCTATAGGATAGGTTGCCTAGGGAGACTGAGACCTGTCCTGTCTTTGCAGAGTTAGATAGATAAATATTTGTGAGGAAACAGTTTATGTGTTATTGATCTTTCAGCTGATCTTGCCTTGCAGCTGAAGGATAGACTACACGACATCTTGAGATCTCTCCCAGCCTCATTATCTACTATCCTGTAAAATGAGACAAAAATGAAGCAAGGAGAGCCATTGAAAGGCAGAAAAAGCTGGCGATGGGAAAAAGATTATGGGAGGAGCAGCTGTTGTCATGTAAAGAGTTAGGTGGGATGCAGAGAATTGGAGTAACATGCTGTGCAAAAGGGAGGGATGTTCAGGGGCCCTGCTTTATCTGTGCCGTATTTGAACATCTGGATTTTCTGGCTTGTTTCTTCCAGAGGTTTCATGAGGTGAAAGTGAAGGGAAATGCAGGCATCAGCTGGCAAAACATCTTGCTTTGGTGTTAAAGCAAAACGTGGGGGGTTTTCTCTCCTTAGCTGACATAGGCTTTACAAAGTTTTCTTTTTCAAATAACTGGTCTGTCTCTGGTGAGATATAACAATGACTTGAGAAAATACCTGAGCAAACTAAGTTTGTGAGCTTTCATTATGTGCCTGAATTTGCAGACTCCAGCTCTTGGGAAAGATTCCTCTCTTCCATCTCCCATGCCTTCATGATGCATTTCAAATGTGCCTTCAGAGACATTTGCCTGCTTTCCTGATTGGGGCCACGTTGCTCCAAACTAGAACATTACCCTTCAGAAACGTGCCTGACAGCTCCACAGGGTCCTGTGGCTGGGAGGCCCAGCTCTATGCCAGCAGAGAAGCTGAGCCCTAAGGGGCTCTGGGGCAGTAATCCTTTCTGGCTGGGTCTGCCTCTTCCTGTGTCCCTGAACAGGATGCTGACTACATAAACTTTTCCAAGGGGCAGGACCACGTGTGATTTGAGGATGAGAAGCTTAACCGCTGCTCTGAAATAGCCTTTTGTACATGTTGGTAACATCAGTGACCAGAAATGGTTGGGAAAGGTTAAATCAATCTTTCTGGCTCTAAGGTTGTTAGTACTGTTCTTATTCCTCTTCTCCAGAAGAGCAGGAGCTGAGGGCAGCCGCAGTGGGGAAGAAATTGCCTTTGCAACACCACAGTCCACCTGTGTCCAGCTTTGAATCAGCATCTGCTAGTCTCTAAGAGGTTATGGAAGAGGGAAGAGAAGGAGAGATCTTGGGAAATGGGTAGATCAGTGAAGTTTGATTCATGTTTCAGCATCTCCTGATTCATGTTTCAGCATCTCCCTCACATGAGGGCAGTGACACTGCGATTCCAGCTGAACAAAGATGCAAAGTGCTTTTCACCAGTAGAATGATAACTTAAACAAGCAAGCACAGGAAAAGTGCTCTCTGGAGACCAAACTAAACAGAATTCCTGTTTATCTAGGCTGTTTTCACGTCCTTGGACCAATCAGAGTATTGAGCAAGTGTGAGTTGAAGCTGATTACAACTGTTTTTCCTATAACCATGTACATAAATAATTTGTCAACAGAGAAAAGTGTGCCTTCCCCTGTGGCTACTGGAGACTCTGGAAGAGATCCTGACACTACAGCAGAGCCAGCCTGGATTTCCATTGCAAGGCAAAAGCAGAGGGGCATGCAGCAGGAGAAGGACAGAGAAAAGCTTGTGGCTCCGGATATTAAGGCAGATACAGAGAAAAAGAATAAAGAAAAGGAACAAACAGAGGTACTTATAGTAAAAATTTGTGATGCTTTTGTATCACCTTCCTATAGTATTCTTTGAATCTGCTGCTATATTAGCAGTCATGCCGTAATGATTACAGATACTTAATGAGTATAACCATAAGTAACAAAGACAGTGCTCTCAGAAATACGTTACAGATTCAGAGTTCTCTGATTTTTCAGATATGTAATTGTGTATTTCCAGGAAATCCTGGAACTATGTGAAGTGTGTAAAATTTCTTGGCATACCTACCGGATCTGACATGTGTATTGGATGCTAAAATATTGCAAATGAGGTGCTAAACTGTAGTCTCTGATCTTTCTCAAAGCAGAGGAAATATGTTCTCTTTAACTATCCTTCTAAGCACAGCATTTCATTGAACCTCCTCCTATACCTCCTGACTGATTTAACACTGAATGAAGAACTCGTTCCCAGAAGCTCCTCGGTAACAATTTTTAGAGCCTTGAGAATTGAAATAGGATTAAAATAACTTCTGTATTTGTAGAGAGTGCCAAGATATAAATTCTGGTTCCCTGTATATGGATAATTCAGAAGCACATGTGGTGCCACGGAATATGGGCTGACACTGCTTTTTCAAAGATCCCATGCAAAAGAGGGTGATACCTGTAGGAAGTGATCTTCCCAGATGACAGAGCTGTGCCAGCAGAAGTGCTCGGCATGAATCCAGAACACTAATAAGGCTTGCCTAGTACTGGACTATCTCACGGAGCAGCAGCATGCAAGTGCTGCCTGTTTTGCACCCTGCACAAGAAGAACCCTGCACTGATACAGGAACATGTGTGTCCTATACCAGTATAGCATTCCCAGTGCAAATGGCCTACTTTCTTGCTTCACATGGTACTGTTAGAAACCCAGGCAGCTGTCTCATATCCCAGAATAAGAGAAGATTTCTAGATGATGAAAAATAGCAGTGGTTAGATTAACAAGAAATAATGCCTAATAAGATGTCTAGGCAAGCTTATGAACTGCAGTAATGCCTAACATGGTCACAGCACTTAGATAACAAGGGCTTAAATGAACCCAAAATACAGTTTCTATGTCAGAACTAGAAACTCTAGATTTTATCTGGCAATGATTTCTAAATTCATGCCGTGCATTTTATTTCTCTATAGCAGCTAACAGAGAAACATGCCAAGATGCTCCTGACTGCAGCATATGAGGCTTGGTGCCACTGTGCTACTCCCACTTTCTCCCACATGGCACCAGGCACTATCATTTCAGGATAGTTTTTGATACTGGCAAGAAAATCTATGGGAGGATGTGTTTGATTTCTTTTTTGTGAAAAATCCATTTACCATCAACTGTCCAAAAATACAGTGCCCTTACCCACAAAATCTGGGAGGTGGAAGGGAAACATGAGAGAACGAGAGTGTATATACAAATCCTGTATATGCTAGCAGAGATGTGTAAAGGACTTGAAATACATTTTGCATTGAAGACTATACTTACTTACTCATAGATACCATTATGAATAAGAGATACAGATGAATAGTTTTAATTTGTAAATTTGAGTATCATGGACGTTAACGTGAAACCACTGGAACGTTCTGAACAGGTATCAGCCCAAGGGAGAGGACTGGGACCGATGTGTTTTGAACTGTGGCCAGCACCACATCCACTCCATTAGCTTGTGTTCTTCCAAACTGGACTCATTCTCCCTGCATTACTTAGATTTTATCCCTCTCTGTGCCTAGGGGTCAGTGAAGCAACAATGGAGCAAAACATCCCACTTGGCAGCTAAAACCGCTTCTGAGGAGCAGGGGAAAGACACAAAGTCTGAAGTGAAGGAGCCTCTGCTGAGAACCAGTTCACTTTCACATTATGTCCCTGGTAGGAAACAAAATGCTTAAAATGTCGGCTGTTATCTCACAACCTTGTCAGAAAAGTGTGCTTGAGTGTGCTGCAAAAGGAATAGGAGCTAGATCCTAATCTCCTCCTCAGCCCCACATCAGCCAGATGAAAACTCAGAGAGTTTTCTCAGCTCTAACATCTGCGGTTTTATCCGGTGGCATATTCTTCTGACAAGTTTGATTACAAACAAAAGAGTAACAAGGAGTAGCCAAAACTCGAGTAAGGTGAATTGAGAATGCTAGGCCATTTTACTGGATGGGGACCCAAAGGCACCATCCCACTGTAAAATGTAAGCAAAAATATTTTCAATAGCATTCAATTTTAATGTGACTTCCTCAGCGAGCTGAAATGATGTGATAACAAACTGTCTGACCATTAGTCCTCCCACAATAACTTTGTACATCTCTTTGGTAAATTAAAATTTGAAAGAAGGCAGAAAGGTATAAAATTCCTGTGAGTTGGATGCTGGGTAAAGAAGGACTTTGCAAGTGAATGCTTTTGCTAATGAAAAGACTCTGTTCTTTGGCTTGGGAGTTAACACAGGGCCCAGCAAGGAATCCAGGTCATCATGTTGTGTTTTGGTAAATTTAGGGATCAAAAGATATTAGTGATAAGAAAAACACTGTATTACTTAGAGTACAAAATGATAATTTCCTCAATAACTTATTGCAGAAGAAGCTTCCATGTGAAATGTAAAGATATTCTACTATAGGGCAATGCATGGAAAGTATTTAGTAAAAGAGCTCGGGTGTTTAGCTGCACAGCAAGCAAGTGTAAAATGCCCATGTGTTTTATTCACAGTAGCTCCATCACCTGCACTGGCGGATAAGGAGGAAATAGGCCACTTGAAGAAAGCTAGTAATGCTGCTCCAGATGAGCCATCGTGGATGGAACTGGCCAAAAAGAAATCCCAAGCATGGAGTGATATGCCGCAGATTATAAAATAGAATGATGCAAACAAATAGCATCTTTCATAATTAAGTCAACTACTTAACTGAACTTCTACATACCAGCTAATCACAGTGAAGAATCTCTTGATATGGAAGAAGGATTTTATTATACAGCTGTGGAGAAAGTGTGCAATAGGTGCAGTCAAAAAGTTTACCTTCAACTTTTTAGCAATCAGGATTGCAATGGCAATGGATTACTTCGGTTATGCTAAGGATGTACTTATACTTTGGAAAATAAAACTTTTGCCTTACGTATTTCCTGCATTTTCTGCTTTTAATTATGTTTGCATCAAAACAGGATCTTTGTTAAACTTTGCTGAACTTCTGTTGTTGTGGGAAAATTCCATTTCTTATGGGTTTCTCTGTTTACATTTACAAACTGTGCACTGACAGCCCGATTCTGTGGATGTGTTTCACAGGAATCGCCTGACACACTTCCTACCAAAGCTGTTAGGCCCATGGTGGTATTCACGAATAGCTGCTAGCAAGTGCTCCATTAAAACGTGTTGCCCGAGCGGTGTGTTTACCTGGCTGAGCTGATGGTGCAGTTTCTGGGGTTGGGTTACATTTCAGGAGGCACAAATACCCACATTTATGCGTGACCAAGAATAAAAATTCCTCGTTTCCTTCTCTGAGCAACCTTGGTTGCACAATGTTTGCAAGCAAGTGAGCAGTAAGGAAACTGAACTGCAGTTGGAAGCTCAGCAGTGCATTCACAGTTGCTTTCCTACATGAATTTATCTGGTTGTAACTGGCTTTCCTTTTTGTGAAAGCTTTGTAATCAGTTAGGAGGATGGTATTAGTAGCAATGGACAATATGAATTTAATTAAGAACTGAAAATCCTTGAACTAAAGTCCAAACTGAAATTCTTGGAAAAACTGTGAATTTCATCATAGTGTCAGCTTCACATAACATCCCCTACATAATCTTAATTCTTCTCAATAAAAATCAGTAACATACAGATAGAACGTCTGTACTTGACTACCTTTATATAACATTCTCATGCTCATTGACCTGAATCTCCCCCACCAGTTTGGGACTCCCACTCATGAAGTCTCCTAGGCTCCTCACTTCCACTTGTTTAACGAGATTGACAATATAAATCATTTGTTGCTGATTGACCAAAGTCACTCTGAACATATTTTAAGACCCCCCTGTGAGTTAAAGAAGCAAAGGACAAACCCTGTGATGCCCCACTGCTAAGGCAAGCATTTCATGGGTGAATATTCCTGTATTAGTACTGTACTCCCTGGCTTTATTTATGTTTGTATCAGTAATTTTGTTCTTGTTGTCACATTATAGGAAATATAGGATTTGCAATTTCAAAACCTTGTCTTCTCCTCAGAGATGGGGAGGAAAACCCAAGCCTCTCGGTAATGACAACAACATTTTGTAATGAATAAAGAAACAGAGAGTTGAGCATGTGAATATCCAACACACTGCTAAAGGTTTTCAGTCAGGTTGTCTTTCATCATTGAAAATACCAGAAGGGAAAACAAATTTTCTGTTTGTCAAGGCCTTTGGACAAAGACAGTCAGCCTGCATCACTGCCGAAATCCGCCTGCACGGCTGCTGGAGGCCTGATGGGGCATCTGCACAGACCTGCTCCAGCCCATCACAGCAGCTCTCAGTGGTCCTCACCAAAACAGGTTTCTGCCAGGTGTCCCAGGGTTTTCTCCTTCCTGCAGATCACAGAAAGCAGTGTGGGATACCCACTGAAATCAGAAGCCGCAAGACAGCTCTCTGTTAAACAGATCCACACCAGAAATAGTAATTTAATTACAGATAGGAAGTTAATTACAGGACGTGCAACCTTGGGCTCAACTATCTGAAGTTTGGTTCTGCAAAAACTTCCACACTGCTCCCCCACGAGCAAGCATCCTTTATTTCAAGTGACTTTTGGGTTTTTTTGTGGTATTCAAATCATACTCTAGGACCTACAGTGGAAAAAGGCACATTTTTCAGATACAATAAAAACCATCTTTAACTCCCTGTCCTTCCAAAACACCCTTTCTGTAATAAATAACTAATTAGCATAAAGTGTAATTTTAAGATATGGTGTTACCTTTTGTAGCAATCTTGAAAAAAACCAAATAGTTTCTGTATTAAAGGAATATACTATATTAAAAAAGACCAAATTTGTATTCTCTAGTTATTGTCACCCCATGAAAAAAGCACATTGTTTCCAGGAAATGTAGTTAAAGGTACGGTCTGTCTCCTTACAATTTCCTCCCTGTTTAAAACAATTAAAACTGTGTTGAATCACAACTGAATTCCTGGAGCATGACCTGTGCAGTGTATGGGGAAGAGTAGAAATCTCTTGGACTGTCTCCTATTTTCATAGAGAGATGCTCAGGAATAATGTAGGTGAAAGGCAGAGGTATCGTGGTAAGCCCTGCACTATCTCAAGGGGAACAAGTCCCGTGTCCAGCTCCCTTGCAGACATGTCAAGGTGAGGAGGTGAATGGACGACCAGCTCTTCATGGAGCACAGCCCTGTGCCACACCTGCCCTACACCTCCTGTGCCATTTGGGATCTAGATTTGGGAGCATGCTGAGGCAGGAACCATCAGCTGGACAATTTTGCCATTGACTGTGATGAGGTCCAAGTATTGCTGCCTTAGGGTTTCTGGTGGTTTGACTCACTTCCATGTTTTCAGTGCCAAGTGGGTGAGAATGACTGCTGTGAGAGGTGACACCCAGCATTGTGGATTCCTACAAGCCCATGACCATCATCTGACCTTCAGGGGAACGGACTGCAGCCCCACAGGCTGCTCAGGCCTACCAGAAACAAACTCAGGATCTTGACCAATTCTGCCATAATTACGGACCAGTTCAAGTGTCTCAAAATGTGCTTCAGAGGAGCAGTAACATGATGTGCTTCTTTTCACACAATGCAGAGTTACATTGGAACAGATTGCCACAGGAGGTTGTAGACACCATAGGTTTAATTGACTTCAGAATGCAGACAGGCAAACAAGTGGAAGACAAAACCCATCAAATGCTGCTCAACACAAAAAGTGGGGCCTTGGCTTGGGATATTGTGAGTGTCTTTGGCAGGCAATGTCACTGGTCTTCTTCACGTTCTCTTAGCACTGCCAATGTGCCTTGCCTTTGTGCAAGCAAAGACACTTGCCTACTTAAACCTCTGATATGATGGCCAGGTGAATTTTTATTTTCTCACGGCGTTGGTTTGTACCCAGATTTCTAAGTGAAAGGGTCATGCAGGTAGGACTTGCTCTCGGTGTCTTGTCAACAGGTAGACAGGAAATAGTTTTAGAGCCCATGTATTCTTCTTTGGTCAAATGGCTCATTTGTGAAAATGGAAAGATGGAAACACAAATGTAGTTCTCTCCTCTGTATGAACAGTGATTTTTGTTTCACATTCAGTACCACCAGAAAAGCCTTTCAGATCTGATCAGCTTTCCTGAGGACGTCACTGTACTTTTCCAATGGCGAAGCAATATAACTGACTCAGCTGATCCATTTTGCTCATGCAGCTGCGATATATACCGTTGGAACATGACATCTAATGAAAATAAAATGTAAAAATTCACCCTTTGTTCATGACTCATGCACATAAACTAACAGAGCTGCAATTACAGTCAAAGAACAACAAAATGGACTTGAAAAATAGAAGTTTCCTCTCCCAGAAGTGCTGCATGAGACATCTTTGGCTTTCTGTTTAACAAGCAAGGTGTCTTCCCAGGGGTGAAGGGCCTCACACAATGCAAATGAAATTGTCTATCAGCCGTCTTTCAGTGCAAAACCTCTAAATTTCATGATTTATGCAGTTTACTTGTTGGATTATCCTAACCTATCCTAATGTTTAGTAATTTTAAATGAAAAATTGATACTAAATAATTTTTAATAGACAGCGATATGCAATAATTTTTTAAGGCCAAATATCCCCCTGGCCTTTACTTTGATATGGTGTTTTGCACTTTGGTGCCTTTGACAGTAAAAATGTTTACCAAATCTGTTGCATTTTTTCAAAATTAATTTTGTTGCCTGTGAAAATATCCAGCAGCAGCATAGGAAGCAGCTTGCTGTAATTTTGCAATGCCATTAATTCCCTCTTAGTCTCGAGGAGCACAATAAACTTGCCAAAATGTTTGCTTGGTATACATGATGAGCACTTTGCTGTGGGTAACAAAAGTTTAATTACAGGATTTTGTGTTTGTGTTTAGAAGATAACTTTGTACTGTTACAGAGTCAAAAAAAATAAATCCATTTGTGAACACTGGGCAGTGCTGCACATCATTAAAGACCCTAGGGGGAAATGTAGCCCTGTGTGATCCTGCACAATGTGGCTACATGGGATTAACTCTTGTAGGAGAAGGCATTTCAGTTCCAAGTGGGCACAGGTCTCAGGCTCACATTCAGTGTTTGCCAAGATGCTCAGTAAGTGGCAGGAATCATGGAGGTTTTATAGTGTGGGATCATTTATTGTCTGACTTCACAAAATAATATCACATAAAGATTTTTTTATGGACTATTAGTCCCAAATAATTCTCAGCATCATGTTACACTTTGAAGCTGGGGACTGATGGTACACATATTCACAGACTATTCACATCTTCTTCCTTTGCAGTATCCTGCAGCACCTTTGCTGCAGATTCCAACTCTCTATTTACACTGGCTGTATTCCCAGAAGAAAACCACTCTAGCTCACCTATGGCAGCTTAAATGGAGATCATTCAGGGCATGTTGAACTATTTCCCTCTCCAGGATACCAAATCACTCTCTGATCCCAAACAGTTCTTAAAACTGTTAGGAATGCAACTAAGAGAATGTAAGATATTACTGAAGCAAAGTGATAGAGAGTAATTTTTCTTCCTTCCATCTCACACACCTTCACATTGAGTACTTTTATTGTTGATTTCTTTTTGCTTTGTTTGTTTACTTATACAAATAAGTATGAAATGGTATATGTTTTAGGTTCATAATTGTACTGATGTCTATTCAAGGATGCTGAGCCAGATATTGTGGTATCTTAACTAATGGTTGCAAGTAGTTCCCTTTTTTCCCCAAATATGGTTTGATTTCTCAAGTTTAGAATTGACACATAAATTACTACTCTGCCTTTGAGAGTCAGCTCTTCCTGAGAAACTTCTAATTGCAAAAAAGGAAAAAGAAAGAATTCTCTGTTCACTGTCTACTAAAAAAGGGCACTTTGCACCAATGAGTCCTGCAATGATTATCAGCACATGGCTTCCACACTGTCACTTGTCACCCATGCTGGCAGCTCTGAGATGACAAAGCAAACGGGTCACTCATGCTGCTCTTGGGCCAGGCCACGGAAAACTATGGTGCCTTCAGTGA